AACCACATGGTACACATAGTTTAGGCACAGTGGGCCACTCTGAGCCTTTAGGGAACAGTTCCATGTTGGGAGACAGTTCCATGTTGGGAACTGTTTACCAGCCAAGTTCCCGGACACCAGCCATGGGCTAACTTTGCAAGCAGGCAAGATCCCAGGACTCTGAGATCATGACCTGAGCCAAAGGCAGACGCCTAACCACCTGAGCCACCCAGCACTCCTGTCACTTGCCTTAATGGTGGCTTTTGACAAAACAAACAAAAAACAAAAAGAAGCTCCTGTGTGCAATAGGTTATCTTCTGTGACAGTAGATATCAAAGTTTTCCCATCTTTACACTTCTTCAACCAAGAATAGACTCTTTGAGTCCCTTACCTCACTCACATTAACTTATGAAAATTCAAATCTTGGGACTCTGGGTGGCTTAGTTGGTTACAAGTCTGCCTTCTGCTCTGGTCATGATCCCAGGGTTCTGGGATCAAGCCCTGCGTTGAGCCCCAAGTGGGCTCCCTGTTCAGCGAGGAGTCTGCTCCTCCCTCTCCCTCTGTCCCTCCCCTTGGCTCATGCTCTCTTTATCTCTCTCCCTCAAATAAATAAGTAAAAGCTTAAAAAAAAAAAAAAAGAAAGAAAAAGAAAATTCAAATCTTGACAGTATCCACTCTAATCCTTGCTTCCATGCAGGCCAAAGCTCCTCATCTACCATGCAACTAGCCCTTGGACACATCAGCCCCCTCCTGGATGTTTGTCCCTTGTATTCTATCCCTGTCCTGTCCTGACCCTCTGCTCTATTCCTCAGTCTACTCAGCTTCCAACCATAGTGACAAAATCCAGCCTCTAATTTTGACATTGGCTTGGCAGACCTAATAACACAGCTTATTCCTACCCTCTGGTGTTTTCAGACCCTGGCCTCTGCTTGGCCAGATCTTGGTCCAAGGATCCCATCTGGCTTTCTAGCTGCTTGGCTGGTACTCCCGCCATGTTTGCCCCTACTTCCTGGAACAGGGGGATCAGACTATTGGACCTGAGAGAAAAATTGGTAGTGCTGTTGATGATCAGAGACAGTTTTTTGAATTTCCCAGCGGGGTCCATCATTGTCTAATCCACGATGAGAGTCCATGAGAGAGTCTGAAATTGAGGTGCTTTGAAGTCTTCTTGGGGGAGGTAAGAGATCCAAGGGGAGCAGAAATTAGAGAACATTAGCATATAAGTAATACATTATTAAGGATTAGTTTGTGTGATTTGGATGGCAAATTCTAGAGATTCAAGAAGTGAGAAGACACCAAGGGCTGGAGGAGTTGGGGAAGTGGTGACGAGGTGGAACTTTAGCAGGAAGAAGAGTGACCTAAATTGCCTGCCAAGCATTAGCAAAGATGGGGTGGTGGGACAGGGAAGAGCCTGGCTGGCTTTGGGTTGGCGGGGGGGGGGGGGGGGGGGGTGGAGAACAGAATGCCGGGCAGCGAAATGGGAAAGGTCAGGGCAGAGCCAGTCCCAGGAAGGTCTTGAAAACTAGGCAGAGGTGTTTGGGACATCATTCTGTTGGGCAACAGGGAAACTTGGTAGATTTGTGAGGAGAGGAGAGACATGTAGAAAGCAGTGTTTTAAGAATGATGAGAAAGGATTGGTGGGAGGAAAAGGAGGAAGAGTAGACATCAGATTGCATGAAAATGTGAAATGAAAATTGATGATTCCAGTGGATATTTGTTATTTTGGTCACTTACCATCTATTTATCCTAAAATAATCTTTTCACTGACACCCCTAGGGAAGTCTTTCCCTTCCTCCACTGCTGTGAGTATAGATGATAAAACTTTTCTGGAAGAGCATTTGGCACTATATTTCAAGAACCTTAAAAATGTTTATATTCTTTGCACTGTAATTTGACTATGAGGAATTTTAACAAAGATTCATATAAAAGATATTTACACAGTAATGTTTCTAGACACATCAGGGAAATGCTAGGGAAGTACTGACAGACCCAGCTGATGGGAAATTATGCAAAAGTTAAAAATAATATTGAAGAATTCTTTTTAATTTTTGGGAGGGTTTGTAGTAAACTCATATGGTACAAATTCAGAGGTCCAAAAGGGCATGAAATGAAGAGTAGTTCTCCCTCCCTCCTACATCCCTCAGCCCCATCCCCTCCTCAGAAGGAATTATTTTAAAACACGTGTGCATGAGTGCTGCCACTTGGCCTTACTCAAATGGCAGCTTGTTTTGTATCTTTTTTTTTTCCACTTAATTTATCTGGTGATTGTCCTCTATCAACACACAAATAACTTCCTTATTTTTTAATGCTTGAGTATAATTTCATTATGAAGCTATACCACAATTTATTGAGCTGATTCTCCATCAATAGACATTTAGCTATTTCATATCTTTTGCTAGAATGACCATGCTGCTATGAATAACTACATATTTCACTTTACACACGTGAGAATATATTTGGAATTATGTCTTCGACATGGAATCGTTGGGTCAAAATATAAGTGCATTTTAAATTTCTGTAACATGACCAAATTTCTCGTCCCAGAGATTTTTCAAGTTCTATGTGTGCGAGTGTCCATTTAGCCAGTACTGTGTGCTATCGAACTTTTCTTTAAGGAAAAGTGCATTTAATGATTTTAGAAACTACTTATAAAATGTTGTCAAATTTAAAAAAAGTTACGTGCAACACATGTGTATTATTGGAAGACATAATGCCAAAATATTAACAGCAGTTATCTTAAAAGTATTGACCATTTAATATCATGATTTCAAAATTGCTATAGCAGTCTTATTTAACCTTGCTAGTAAAATCTCTCCAATTGGTTATAGAGCCTTAGAGGGAGCACACATTTTAATTGCCTTTTTACTCACACCTTGCCCAAGCGATTACTTAAATAAGGTTGAAGAATGAAATGGGTAGTATTTTCCATCAGGGTGGACAAGCATTTGCAATTTTCAATCCTGTCACAAGGTGGTGGAAGAGAGTTAAAATTCAGGGACCTTTGAAACCTGAGTTGTGAAAACCAGGCATTATACATCGTAAGCGTTTGGAAGAGTTCTAAGACTTAAAAAAAATATGTATACATACGTATATAATATTAATAATAATATACTAAATATATATTTAAATATATTAGATGTATATATTTTAAGATATATTACATGTTAAAACTTAGACAATTAGAATTGCCTCTAAAATATCTGCCCCCAAATCAATGATGAAGACAAACAGAAGATCCTTGACAAGTGCAATGAAATCATCAACTGGCTCGATAAGAGCCAGACTGCAGAGAAGGAAGAATTTGAACATCAGCAGAAAGAGCTGGAGAAAGTCTGCAACCCCATCATTACGAAGCTATACCAGGGCGCAGGAGGCATGCCAGGAGGAATGCCTGGAGGCTTTCCTGGTGGTGGAGCTCCTCCCTCTGGTGGTGTCTTCTCTGGGCCTACCATTGAAGAGGTTGATTAAGCCAACCTGATGACAGGTATAGCATTGTTTCACACATTTGAAGGACCCAAATTTGTAGCAAATTCCATGGCAGTTTTAAAGTCAAGCTGCTATACTAAATATACTGGGCATTCTTGATACTTGAATATGGAATATGTGCCCAGGGAAAAGAAATAAACATTGCGCTTTATAAGCACTGTATTGTTAAGTGGGAAATGCAATGTCTTAAATAAAACTGTATTTAAAATTGGCACCACAAAAAAAATCTGCCCCCAAATATTAAAAACTCCCATGAAAAATCTTGGTGCTGTCTTCCTTAATGTCAGTTTCTTTCATCTCCCCAGGTGGTGCTAGGTCTTACCTCTCCGAAGGTTTACTCCTCTTCCTGGTGCCTACCATGGCCTGTCCTGCCTCCCGATGGTGCCACCAGGCTTCCCTTGCTCCTAACGTCACTGCTTTCCAAAGAGATGAACCACCAGACCACTGGATGCATGCCCCTGGAGTGATCTGAGGCTGGGGTCAGTTCATCTTCTTATGGTGGATAACTCAGCTGGTGAGATCTCATCACAGGGAGACTGGGGGTGGTGTTAGGAGCAGGATCTTTCAGCTATACTTCGAATCACTCCAGCAGCTGCTCTCACTGTCCCTGGACAAAGGTAGAACCCACTCAAGAGGCAAATGCTTGTCTCTCCAGGCCTGCAGTTGCAGGTGGCCATAAACAACTCCATCTTGGTGTCCTTGACCTTCATTTGCTCTGCCTTGAACACCTACTCTTTGCCCAGGGTGGATTTGCTCCAGCGGGGATAGCTGTCTTTGGCCCTGGTCCTGTTTGGCAGTGCAGAACTCTAACCCAGCTCTTCCATCTGTTTCATACCCTGGAACCTTGGGGAAGTCATTCAGCCTCTCTGAGGCATGGTTTTGGCTCAGGGCATGGAGACCTGCCCCAGAGTGCCATAGTCCCACAAAGCTGGGACGGGTCCGCACTGTCCGGGGGTTGTGTATGGCGTGAGGGTGGGAGAGCGCATGGAGCGGAAGGAGGCCCTGGCCTTCTACTGGAGTGGGACTGGTGGAAAGAGGTCTTGGGTCTTGAGAATGGGGAGGGGGTCAGGGTGGAGCTGCGCTCCTGGAGGCCTCGTCAGGACCCCACTAAGGGACCTACAGTCCGGGGCTCATAGTATCGGTGACTTTTCCTTGACTTTTCTGCTCAGGGGCTGCTCGGTAGCGCAGCGGGTGCGTCCGGGGTGGTGCACAGGCCTCGCGGAGGCGTCGGCACCCCGGGGGACGCCGGCCGGGCGGGTCTTGACAGCCGGGGCCCGCCCCCGCCCCCGCCCTCTGATCCCGCGGGGCCCTGCACCGCCCCGCCGAGCGCGGTTTCCTCCGCGAGGGCTTCGACCGGGGGAGGAGGGAGCGCGGAGGCGAGAAGGGAGCCCCGTTCGGGGGCGCCGCAGGACCAGTTCCTCGCAGTCCCCGAAGGCTTCCCGACAGAGGAGGCAGTTGCAGGCTCAAGGACTTTCCCTGGGCGGGGCGCGGGCCCGAGGGTGGCGCTCGGGGAGGAGCCCTGGGCGGGGCTTGGTCGCCGGGCCGCCCCCCGCAGTCGGGCTGCGGGACCGCGGCCGCCTCGCTCGGTCACTCGGCGCCTCCAGCCGCCCCGCTGCGCTCGGCCCCCAGCCAGGCCCCGGCCATGACGGGCGCACTGTTCAAGGCCAACTTCTGGGTGAGTGGGCGCCGCCGGGCCGCGGCCCGCTGCCAGGCCCCCTTCCCGCGCGGCGCGCCCGCGAGCCCCCGGGGTCGCTCGGGTCCCCGGGCGCCCGCCTCCCGGCCGCCGGCCCCGACACCCCGGGCGCGGGGGCCCTCCGGGCGCAGTGGCCCGCGCCGTGCCCCCGAGGACCCGGCAGGCCGGCCCGGGGCTGCGTCTCCAGGCCCGCGCGCCTCCGAGGCGTCCCAGCGGCTCAGCGGCCCCGCCCGCGCTGGGGGGCCGGAGCCCCCTCCCCGGCCTCGGCCCGGTGCGCGCGCGCCTTCCTCTGCCCGCCCCCCGCCCCCGGCCCCGGCCCCGGCCCGGCCCGGCCCGGCCCGGCGCTCGGCAGGTGGCCCTCCGCGTCTCCCACCCCGCGTTCCGTTCCGAGCAGCCGCCCTCCTCCCTTCGCGGCGGGAGCGCGGAGCCCGCGCACCTGGAGGCTCTGACCTGGGACCCGCCTGCTGCCGTTTGGCCTCGCGGCTGCCTGGCACGACCCGGTGACCCCCGCCGGGCGCGGTGGCCTCTCGGAGCAGTTTAGATCCTGCCTGGCGAGGCCCCGTTCCTTGAAGCTTCTGGGGTTTGCCCCGGGGGGCTCTGCGCACCTGTAGGTCCCACGGCCGGCCGGCATTGTCATTGTGGGGAAAAGTAGGGCAGGAGACCCGCCTTGCGTGAGCCTCACCGTGTGACACTTGGTTCTCAGATCTCAGCCCACATGTCACCTCTTGAGGGAAGCCTTTTCTGATTGTGCCCGGGAGGCCCTGCTGCTGGCTCACATGTCACACCTTCTGTTCCTTCGGAGCATTCATCAGTTTCCGGTTTGGGGCTGGGGAGAGGCAAGCACCTGAGCACCTTGGGACAGGTGCCTTCAGGGCTACTGTCTCCTTCAAGCAGGTGCAGGGTGGGTGCTCGCCTAATAGTTGTTGACGGAGTAAGTGGGTCTAGAAAGACGAGGGGTGGGCGACAGGGTGGGAGCGGCAGCCTCTGTCCTCAGAGGGCTCACAGCCACCCACCCAGGGGTGCTTGCAGGAGTGGGTCTGGGCTGGGGCAGAAAGGAGCTCTGGGTTAGGAGTTAGAGGGTGGGGGAAGGTCAGGGGGAGAGAACTTTCTGTTTATACCCCCCCCCATCTTATACTTCCAGAAAGTATCTGAGATCCTGAGAGATATTTTTTGCAAAGGTATCTTTCATCTCTGATTTTCTGTAACACTTTATGTCAAATAATAGAAACTGTAATAGCCGACATTATGGTGCACAGTCTGTGACTAACACAGTTGGTTTTTTAAGATTTATTTTTTAATATTTATTTGGCAGAGAGAAAGGGAGAGTGTGTGCACGTGGGAAGAGGCAGGGAAAGAGGGAAAGAATCTCAATCAGACTCCGCGAACCAGGGTGGGGTGGTGGTGGTGGTGTGGGAAATTAGCATGCCTCCATACACATTTATATGTAAATAAAATATACATATTTCAAGATACATATCTCAAGACCCTGAGACCATGACCCTAAGATCATGACCTGAGCTGAAATCAAGAGTCAGATGCTTAACCCACCGACTGAGCCAGCCAAGAGACCCAACTAACACCATTCTAAATGCTTCATACACGCAATGACCGGGTGAGGTAGCTTGCTTACTGTCATTTTATAGATGAGGAAACTGAGTGCCAGAGAGGTTAAGCAACATTCCCATGCTGCTAGGGCTGTTAAACAGTGGAGTAGGAATCTGCATGGACCAAATGCTCCATGAATCTCTCCCCCATCCCCAATATTTTATTTATGTATTTTGACAGGGAAAGAGAGAACAAGCTGGAGGAGCTACAGGCAGAAGGAGAGGGAGAAGCAGGCTCTCTGCCAAGCAGGGAGCCTGATGTAGGGCTCTATCCCAGGACCCTGGGATCATAACCTGAGCTGAAGGCAGATGCTTAAGTGACTGAGCCCCCCAGGCGCCCCTCCATGAATGTCTTAATGAGGCTGGCACTCAGCAAGATTGTCCCAGCATTGCTCTCTGCATGGCTCCTTTGCTACTGTCAGAGATAGATGGTGGGTCATCATCCAACCCCTTTGTCTGGACATCTTTCTCTTCCAGCTCCAGTTAGGAGCTCATGGAGGGTAGGCGCTGGGTGCCACCATCAGCTGAGCCCCCCAGTACTGCCATGGTGCCTTGCATTTGAGTGCTCAGGAATCAGCCAGACCTGGGGGCAAAGGGGTAGAAGGGAACCTGCTGGAACCTCAGCAGTATCTGGGATGCTTCCAACCACTCAGGGGGCAGGGGAGGCAAGGCTCTGGTGAGCCCAGAGGGGAATAACTTTCATGTTTGAAGGGTGAGAATGTTGTGATTGGACATGGTAGAAAACTTTGGAAACACAAGTGAGTATCAGTTGACTGGATTTATTAAATATTTATGATATGATTTTCTCTATAAGCATTTCTCTCTCTCTCTCTCTTTAAAGATTTTATGTATTCATTTGGGAGAGAGAGAAAGCATGAGAGGGCAAGGGGGAGGGGGGAGGGAAGAAGGGGCAGAGGGAGAGGGAGAAGCAGACTCTCCGCCCAGTGGGGAGCCTGCCTCAGGATTCCATCCCAGGACTTTGAGATCATGACCTGAGCCAAAGGCAGACACTTAACTGACTGAGCCACCCAGGCGTCCCTTTATGAGAAATGAGGATTCCTAATTGAGGTGGCATTTATAGGGGGAAGGCCACGGCCTGGGTTAGAAGGCATATTCCCATGAGGAAGCAAGGTGAGTGGGGGGTGCAGGTTTGGCCTTAAGTTTGTGGAGGAGGAAGGATCGGGAGTTGGGGTGGGGAAGGAGAGTCCAGCAGAGGCCAAGGACCCTGGGCCAGGAGGAAGGGTCTGTTCCAGGATGGAGGCCATAGGGAGAGGCAAGGAGGAGATAAGGGACAGGCAGGGTTTAGAGGTCAAAGTCACAGGGCAAGGCAACCAGTTGAAGGTGAGTATTAGAAAGGAGAGATGGAAAAAAAATAAATAAAAGAAAGAAAGGAGAGATGGGCTCAGAGGAGGCTGGCTCCCTGTAATGTGAACTGGAGAATGAGGTGAGGGCCACAGAAATAAGGAAGTCAGGAGGAGGAACTGGTTTGTGGGAAGAGAGGGAGGAGGAGGAAGAGGCAGAGGTAATATTAACAATAGTTAACTGCAGGGGTAGCAGTGGCAAGGACTAAGGCCAGCAGCATCCTGAAGCCTTCACCCCTGCCTCTGCTTTTCTTCCTCATTTCCATAAATAATGGGCCATTAACTGTGTCTACTCCGTCAGGGTTTAGTACAATGCCGGGCCCAGCACACAGCGAGCATGTGTGTTGTCAGCTATTACTACTATCAGCACGGAGGTGACAGTCACTCCAGGAGAAAGTATAAAAAGATGTGAAGTCCCCAAGGAAGCACCCCTGAAGAATACCTTTGTTTACGCAGGAGGAGAGAGAGGTCAAATAAAGGCAGAGATGTAGGGATGTAACCAGGAAAGGGCCGGCACACACCCTCGGGAAAATGTTCTGTGGAAGTTCTATGGTCAGATTGAGTGGATACTCCAGAAAGGGTGTGAGTCAGGACATTCTTCATACATAATTTACTCAAATGCCCCATGTAAATGCTTGTGTAAAGGAACCTTGCTGTGGACCTGTCTGGAAGGGAGTAGATGGCGTTCTTTAGAACCTGGATGGTCCCTAGGAGGTGTTGTTGGCCTGGTGGGAAGCACACAGGTTGTTTCTTTCCTACTCTCTTTCCTATGCGGACCTGACCTGTGGTTACGTGGTGCCCGTACGTTACCATGTTAACATTGCTGCTACCTGGTCAGAATAAGACAGTGGTGGTGGATGCGGTTTCTAGAAGTTCAGGGAAGCAGCTAGGACACGGTAGAGGGAAACCCCCAGTCTTTGACACCATCAGACAACGTCTTCCAGGTGTGGACAGACACAGGTAGAACCTGTTTCAGAAGAGGTACATGTCCTACCCCCGATCCCCCGGGAGATCCTCACTCAGTCTCCTCATGTGGGTGTGAGGCCCAGTCCGTCCCTGCACAATGGTCTAGATCCTTATTTTGACCAGGGCTTCCTGATTCTCAAGACTCTTGGTCCAAACCAGCTTCCCCGTCTCTGTGCCTGCCTTGCCCCCCCCGCTGCATCCTGTACCCGCAGGATACAGAACGGTGGGCCTCTCCGTTCTGCCTGCGGAGCCACCAGGGGAAGTCTCAGGGCCATTTGAATTTGCTCACTGCTCTGCTCTGGACTCACAGCTGTCCCTCTGCTACAAGTCTTGGCCAACATGGAATCTTGTCATTCTGGGGCCTTTCCAGAACTAAGCAGGGACCACATTGGGCTTTGCTCAATGACTTTTTTTTTTTTTTTTTTTATAGTGACCTACAGCAGTACGGGAAGCTGCTTTTTTCTCTTTTTTTTTCAAGACTATTTATTTATTCATGAGAGACACAGAGAAAGAGGCAGAGACACAGGCAGAGGGAGAAGCAGGTTCCATGCAGGGAGCCTGATGTGGGACTCGATCCCAGGACCCGGGGATTACACTCTGAGCTGAAGGCAGACACTCAACCAGTGAGCCATCCATGTGCCCCCAATTCCTTTTTTCTTGTTTTATTTTCATACAAATTTAATGAGAAGCATGGGACCTATCTATAAGGAAATTTTAAAAATTCCTGCTTTTCTCAACATCATTATGCAGACACTCATACTCTTCTAGTAGTTACCATCACTTTACAAAATAATATGATCACACTGCTTTTTCTTGATAGAGCAGTTTTTTTTTTTTATTTATGATAGTCACACACACAGAGAGAGAGAGAGAGAGGCAGAGACACAGGCAGAGGGAGAAGCAGGCTCCATGCACCGGGAGCCCGATATGGGATTCGATCCCGGGTCTCCAGGATCGCGCCCTGGGCCAAAGGCAGGCGGCAAACCTCTGCGCCACCCAGGGATCCCTTAAAATTATCTATTGACTTACTGCTGTATTTGAGGATTTATTT